CCCCAAGAAATAAAGGAATAGCAGCTTACCAAGGATATCTAAATCTACCTTCTCAAAGTCTTGAACTCATGAGGTGGTAAGTTCCTGATTCAAAGCCCAGCAAAAGCAGTTGGTCTTCCCATTACCTTCAGTGGTTTTTGGATCAGGCAGCTTTACTATTACAGCTAATAGAAAAAACAATACATATAGGAACGCACCATGCATTCTGTTCCGATAGAAAGCTGTGGGGCAAGCCAGCTCATATATGCCCAAACAGCTTTTAAATGAGTCTAACAACTAGGGAGAAATGGAAAAAACAGAATATTTTGATTGAACCAACCAGCATTGATCTGCATTTGCAAAGTAACTTAATAAAAGCATGCTGCCTACATAAAAAGAAGGGGAATAGCTAAACATCATTAACTACATGGATAGCTCTTTGTGGTCTTTTCATTTATCTTCAGTGCCATTCCCATAAAAAGATGCTTGCAGTGGGGGAAAAAAAGAGTAATTTAAAACTGACTTATTTGTAATGCTTAATTTTATTTTGCCCACAGGAAAAACGAAAATTCTTAGGGATAAATTATTATAAAGAAGGGCCTGAAGGAAATGACATTCGAAAGACAAACGTAGCACAGATCCGAATGGCTTTCAGGTATGAGACACTGTGTAATGAGCTCAGCTTTCTATCTGATGCAATGAAATCAGAAGAGATTACTGCTCTGTCAAAAGAGTCACAGCACCAAGAAATAAGCCAGTCTTCCTTCTAAAAATGTGCATTTACTGTTTTGCTTTTTAATTATTAATTTTCTGTGACTGACAGCTGCCTGGATACAATCGTTTGAACACTGAGGAAAAAATGAAATTATTTATAAAAAATGGAGTTACTGTGTGAATTTACCTTCCACTTCATTACATTCTTTAAAGTCAGTTTGTACATACATTAGGCTATATAAGACTGCAGTAAATATCAAACGTCTGATCAGAACTGTGCATCATTTATGTTGTATACTGCATTTTAACCGTGCTTTGCACTGCAATTTAAGAGTCATAATGCTTGCATCTATAATATTCTAATGCAAACAAGATGTATGTAGTGCAGATGATAGCAGTACACGTCTTATTGGACAGTAATACACATTGACTGTTACTGCATGGGATAGCCTAAATTTTACACCCAACTTTGTTTCCAGTGGCAGTTATAGAAAACATACTTTTTAAATTTAGCCTTTGGTTTATTAGCAGATTTTATGATGAACACAATTTTAGTAGCATTCACTTTCATTTTAGAAAATTTTGGAGACACTTTCCAATCTGTCCATGATGATCTTAGGAAAAAAAAAAATATGTTGCCAGATATTGCATATCTTATTGATGATCATGAATTGGCTTAAATGACTCTACCATGTCATTCTTATCACCCAGTATTTGGGGACGAGTCTGATAAACAGAAATTATATCTTTTTGCTAATGAAAATAGAAAAGTGTGAAAATGATTACTGTGTATCTTAAATGCAATAAAATGACTTTAAAAAAGTGTGCCTATCCATTAGTGGGAGAAGTTCATGTCTCATCTTTGACCACATTTTGTGTTAATAGTCAGTAATAATACCAACTGTATACATATTTTATAGGAATTATCCCATTTAGTGATCACAATTTTTTAGTATATGTTAATAACTTTATGAAAGGTGGATTAGTAAAATATAATTACTGTAGTATTTGTGATTTCTCTTCTAATCAGTTTGCTTTTTATGGCATAGCTAACTGAGAAGATTAAACAGCTCACACTGTGTAAAACTGCGTGTGGTTTCATACAGGAAAAAAATGAAAATTTGCAGTTTGAGGGCCATATGTTGCTCAACTAAAACTCCTATTGGTAGCATTATTACTAAAGTAACAAACAAACCTGATACTATGTGCAAATTACATATCAAACATTCAGAGACTTACATTCCCTGCACCCTCATTCATTTATTGCATGTAAATTCACTTATTACACATATCTCTTGACATTCCTGCCCTTTAGTGGCAGTGCACTTGTTTTTTTCTTAATATTTCTCTCCTCCCCATCTTCTTGCTATACAAAAGGCACAAATCAACACAAACTAAGAGACTAGAGAGGGAAACCAGAACAGTGAATAATGCATGCAAATGCTGTTTAACACATCAGACCTAACTGAACACGGAGGAAAAATATTTTAACCTCTTCAGTATAGTAGTTTTAAGTGTTACTTTTGTAATACCAGTAGCTAAGCTTTCTGAAAGGTCTGATTTTTAAATTGACCATATTCCTTTAACAAAGGGCTTTTCAAATCCCTTTGATGCAAGAAACTTCAACTGCAGTTTCTTTTGTGGATGGGGGTTGGGATATAAGCAACAGACATGAGGGGTAACTTGCTTATTCACGTCACACTTTTAAACTTTAAACAACAGCCTACTCATAAATAACATATGTTCCTGTATGATGGAATTCAGTTGAAATTAAAGCTTTATTTTTCCAATAAATCATTTTTGAGAAGCTAGGAAATGCCTTAAATTTAGAATTCCTTTAACATTGTGTATTTATTGTACAATTCATACACAAATTACAATACCTTGAAATGCCTTTAGCTATCAATACAATCAATAGTGTGCAAATCTGTACCCTCGTATCAAACCTTTTAAGAAATAATCACTTCCGTGCTAGAGTACAGAGCACGAAACAGCAATTTCATATCCTCTCATGCTATTTACACTAATTCACATTCAAACAGACTTTTGAAATCCACTACCACCTACAAGTAACTTCTTGAGCGTCTTCCTTTTCAAGTATTCATCTAAATGTATTACTGAAGTATGAAATATTGCTACTACTGAACTATATTTCAGTGATCACATCCTTTTACAGTACTTTCTTACAAGGCACACATTACAGTACCTACAGCACATTAGGGTGCACTAGAGGAGCTTAATTTAAAAAGTGTATCAAATATAAAGTTTATATTTTCACTTTTTAAATATACAGTTTTTGCTTTAGTTAGTGATGTAAATGTGTGTAACAATGTTGTAGTTAACAACCTGTCTGCATTATTTTAGGGTTCATCTACACAGTAACACTATTTCAAAATAACTAACATTATTTCAAAATAACGTAGTCCACGACTACATAACAGGCAGTTATTTTGAAATAATGTTGAAATACTGTCAATCTGGAAGATTTCTTACTCAGACTCCTGTAACCCTCATTGTATGAGGAGTCAGGGAAGTCAGAGGAAGAGTGCTCTATTTTGAACTAAGTGCTGTGTAGATGCTTCCAATTTTGAAATAAGCTATGCAATTGACATAGCTCAATTTGCATAGCTTATTTCAAGTTAAACTCTGCTGTATAGATGTACCCTTCATGAGTACATGTAAGCCCAAATCAAAGAATCAGCATTCAAAAAATAAGTTCATTTTTTTACTATTTCAAAAAAATAAACCCAACCTGAGAATTTAGTGATTTCAGATGCTTGATTGTGTCAAATATAAAATAACCTTTTAAAATTAAGTTATTTTTAATATCTTGAATGCTGGGTAGAAAGGAATATAAATTAAAATAGTTTGCGGTTAGAAATGTTACTATTTTAATAGGGATCAATAAAAACTTGTAATTCCAGCCCAGGTACTCATAGCATTTAGACCCCCCCTCTATGACAGAGTTTTAGCTTGAAACTGAGGCTTATTATGTATGGCAAATTCAACTACAATTTAATATAAGAATTTGTTGCCATTTTTATTCAATGGAGCATCTGCATGTAAGTGTATATATACAACTCTAAGTGTCAGTTCAATTTGTTAATTGCAAAAAAGAACAATTAAATTGATTCAAAGTGTCATTTTATGTATGACAGAATGCAAAGCTTGTACCTTGTGCACTTGCATGTTATTTTTTTTATAGAGAAAAACTTATTTTGCTGCAAAAACACACACAAGTAGGTAGTGTTTTTACTGCTTTTTTCAGATTTTCAGAGCTGTACATTTGATTTGAAGCAAAATGAAGCTATTATTAAAGCAGAAGTTTCTCCTTGCTACAAAAAAGGCATATTGCACTTGTAGAAATTAAGTACAGCACCAATTTAGCTTATCACTTTTTTTTTTTTTTTTTAAAGAAGTATGCTTAATGTTGTAACTTTGAAAACTCAGGAAAAATGAAGCAAAAGCATCAAGACTAAACAAAACCATGACAGATACTATACGAAGCCTTTCAGTAAAGTGACGAGGAGTCCTGTGGCACCTTATAGACTAACAGATTTATTGGAGCATAAGCTTTCATAGGCAAAGACCCACTTCATCAGATGCATGTGAGTTCTTTTCACATATGCTTAGTGCGCAAGACAATTTTTGATTGTCACGCAACAACAACAAAAAAGCTATGGAAATATATTGTTTTAACCTTTGGGTCTGTGTGGAAAGCTATTTAGTACAGCTTTGTTTTCTATGCAATTTTAGAATATCAGATAAAATAGCCTTCTAAAAAGTATACTGTGCTAGGAAAAAGGAAAGCACACACTCTGATAGGACTGGTTTCTGTGATCCCCAAGAATAGGTTACAAACAGTTTTCTATGCTAAACATTAACTCAATACATATAATTAATACATGGCAACAAATGACCAATGAGGGAAAGGGAAAAGATGCTTCTTAAATTTCAGATCTTCAGTTTAGTTATTGTGTAATCCTAACTCATGTTAGGAATCTTTATATCTGTGAGTCATCACACTGAACTGTGTGAACAAGGATTACTTATGAAGAAAAAGGATGCAAGGCAGGTCCTTCAGTAATAAAACACTGCATCTTCTATAATAAAGTTCCCCTGATAGTCTTCAAAAAGCTGGTACAGCAACACTCTTATGTTATAATTCAAATACTAATAAAAATATTCCAATAGCGCTTAATTTTGACAGAAAAGGCATTGTAAATGTAACCTTTACAAGCATTAGTGATCTAACAATTTAGATCATTTAATGAAGCTACATATTAAAAGTTAAGAATGCACCCAGAACTATTGGCTCATATATCCTGTGTTTTAAAGGAACAGTGTAGATTTAGGTTGCAGCAACCAAAGAGACATCTAAATGGCATGAAATATGGTTGAATCGGAAAAGCAAATGTTCATGATAATGAAACCTTCAAGCACTTTAATCAGTAGTCACCAATATCATGGTCTGTGAGGCTGGCCTGCTTCATCTACCATGTTGAGTATATAGCTAACAACATCATCTTCTGTAGGTGCATCTGACACTACCCAAGAATCATTTGTCCCAGTCACTTGTAGACGGCAAATAGGACAGTTCCTGTGGCGATCACTCCTGTTTAGAAAAAACAAATAGTTGGTTAAAAAAACCAAACAAATAACTCTGTGCACACTTCTGAGATGCAAATATTACATAGCATTTTGCTTTCACTGTCAGCCTTTGCCTATTCTGTACATTAAAGATTCTACACAAGTTATTTGGACCTGGTGACTACAAGCATAACTGAAAACCCAATCATTTGAATAGTGTCTTTGTATTCAAAGTTACACAATTCTGAATGCAACAATATTCTTAAATGATTAAAATAGTATAAAAGATTGTTTTAATGACTCTCAATTTCTCATGTTAATTTAAAAATTTTTCCAGCTCTAACCATATTGAGCCTGTTTTGGAATCTAGACATCAAACTTTATTTTGACTCATACTACTATAGAGATTATGCATCTGGAACCCAGTTAACAATTCTGTCAATCACTATTGTAGAAACTAACACATTCACACAGTAGAGATACCATGCTCTGCAATGCAAATAGGCATAAATTCCTAATAGCCCAAGGCAAGTAGAAAAGTCCGATTATACCTAGGGATCCAATTTTTCAGTAAGATTCATATTGCGCGAGTAGTGTTAAAGATCATGTCCTCATCAAGAGTTTGAAATAACCACAGAGAATTAAATGTAATAGACCAAAATTAGCCATAGAGTAAACGGCCAACTCCCATTATATTACTATGGAATGGGCCCAAGAAAAGCAGAGCTGAACTTGGCTCTCTGATTTTTCTCCATGATTCTAAAGACTAGCATGTTAATCAACAGCATGACCTCAGCTCTAACCTTTGAGCAAAGGAGGCGGCTTTATGGCAATTTGTTGCTGGTATCATGTCTCGTTTGATACTATATAGTAAAATAAAAGTTAGGCATACAGTTTAAAATACTATTTAGCAAAATTTCTCAATTTAAATGCCTAAAATTATCCTTTCTACAATGTTTATTCAAAAAAATTAATGGGCATTCCATTTTCCTTATGCTTGTAACACTCAGAAGATTGGACTTATTTTTAAAGAGAAACCGTGGGACTTCTGACCTGAACAGATCAAAAGGCCAGATTCAATGCATTTCTGCTTTTCCTCTCCTCGAACACTTCACGTGATGATCTACGACGTTTTACAAAAATAAAGAATAATATGGGCAGCACGCTACAAAAAGTTTAAGATATTTCTAGTTCTCTTGCATCAATTCAAAGTTAATAAATCCAGTTCCTCTAATTTTTAATTAACTTGCTTTAAATATAATTAGGCATTTATCATCAACTTTCACTGCTACTAGTGAATTCCCTGAATATTATAGAATATTTTTCATAACATTGCAATTGATGCTGATGTCACCTAAGGGGTAGATTAATCAATCTCTCCAAAATACTGCACTGCACTAGGGTGCTGAACAATGAGGGTTGCATTACAGAGAGAGTTTCCCTAGTGCCATGGTCACCAATGTGTTGATTGTGATCGACTGGTCGATCGGGGGGCCCGACCAGTCGATCATGAGGCGTTCGGGGCCCCTCCCATTTTCCCCCAGTCTTTTGCCGCAACACTTCTGCACCATCCACACATTGCAAATCTGTGTCCTGAGCCCATCAAGCTCCCAACCTCCCTGCCCTGAGCCCCTCACATACCCCAACCCAAAATCCTGCACCCTCACATCTACAAGCCTGTGGCTTGCTCAGTACCCCAACCCTCCACCTGACCCCAACACTCCTCAGCCTGGACCCTCCTCCCTAAGCCAGCATCCCTTCCTTCACCTCCTCCTGCATCCAAATTCCCTCCAAGAGCTTGCACCTCTCACTCCTTCCCACACCCAAATCCTTCATTCCCACCCCAGAGTCCGCATCTCCTGTCTCAACCCAGCGAGGGTACGACTAGACTGCAGGAGTTTTTTCTGGGGTACCAGAGGTATCTCAGAAAAACTCTTCTGTATCCAGGGATGTGTTTGTTCTTCCGCTTTTTTTAGCGGAAGAGCAAACACACTCCACTCCCTGAGGAATAGGGGGGCTTCCGAAAGAAGGAGGTTTTTCTTGACATTTGGCCCAGTCTAGACAGGCCAAATGTTGGAAAATCCTGTTCCTACAGAAGAATCGGAAAAAAAAGCGGCAGTGTAGCCATACCTTGAGAGTGTATAAGGGTCAGGGATAGCAAGTGATAGAGAGGAGGAGAACAGAGAAGGCAGGGCTTCAAGGAAGTGGTGGAGTCTTGGGGGAAGGATGGGTAGATCTTGGCTTGTTCTGACATTTAAAAAGTAATCTTGGGCATAAAAAGCTTGAGACCACTGCCCTAGTGCATTAGTTATTAAGCCTTGGAGCTTTTTCTGGTTCAAGTTGTTAATCAAATGCTTGCAAATTCTGAAGTGACCCTTGCTTTGCTGCAATCCTGGAATTTGCTCAGGGTTCCTATATGTACATCACTCAAAATATATAAAAAGTGTTGTACCATTTATCAATGCACTTCTGACAAAAGCTGTGAGCACATGGAAGAATCAAATCAGCACGTCCATCCATGCAGATGCAACATTCCTCCTCCTCAGTCAGCTGTTTAACTCTGCAGTAGAAAAAAATTGTATTAGTCAGTGAAAACAAATTCAACACTATACTTCTACCTCAAAATATTCCTTCTCTGAACATACAGACTAGTCATATTCAATAGATATAAATGCTCAGATTAGTGATAAATAAGCAGAAGGAGCTTAAACAATTTCCAGTTAGTATTTTTTCTGTTTTGTGGGTGAGGTGATAAGATCATCATCCATTATGCAACAGGTCTACGGCAACATTTTTTGCCAAAAGTTATTGTCAAAAAATTAAAGGGAACTAGAGCTTCAACAGGATTACTTTTATTATTATTGTGCCATTTTACCTCTTTTGGTCTCACAAAGGATTATACTCATCACTTTCCATACTGACAATAGAAGTCTGCGTGTTGCATCTTTTGACCAAACAAGTGACATTAAGTTTTACAGTAAGGGCAGGGACAGATTCTGGTTTCAATGGCCAAAATGCCACTATAAAGCAGATACAGCTTTTAGATTAATTAAACTTTGACTTAAGGATAACATTTTGTTTACCATCTGGAATTGTTAACAGATATTTAAAGAAAGAATCCTGCCAACTAGTAGGATCACTGACAGAATGCCTTTTCCATAACACTGCAGCTGATGCTGATGTCAGAGAACAACAGTTTAAAGATTGCCCGGGGCTGGGGAGGGGCATAAATCAATCTGTATCTTCAAAATAAAGCACTAGGATGCTGGACAATGAAGGTAACATTATAGAGAGGGATTCCCCAGTGCATTATCTAGAGTAACTGTGCCCTGGTTTGTGACCATTTAGCAAAAATGAGAGACTAACTTGGATAGTCATTTGGTTAGACATTTTGTGAACTATTTTAATATAGTTACAGTTGGCATGCCAGCTAATGTAATGGCTAGCATTTTTTTTCTGGTCCTCAACAATTCTTTCAGGGCCAGGTATATGCCTGGAATTTCCTTTCCAAATGACTGATCATCTTATATTTGTAAAGAATGTCTTCATTATTGACAACAGCCAAAGAAAGCATTTGATTTCATTTAAAAAAATGACCATAGATCTTCTAAACAATATCCCCTCCAGAATATAGAATCATAGGACAAAGCCCTTGAAAACGCACACAGCTAATTTATAAATGAGCCAGAAAGTAGAGTACTGGATACAAATGACATGAGAAGATACAAGGTTAACTAGGTCACAAATAGAAAGCCTTAAATTTTAAGGATGATATAAGCATTCTCTTATTTTTCACTGATGTTAGAGAACAAAATTTACTTTCCCATTCAAAACACATTAGATGCAACACCAGTGTGGGAAACTGTTCAACTTAAAGAGCTTAAGATGAAATTAAAAATTAAGTAGATAATATCTGCTATTTTTATTCTGTGACTTGAGGAGCTAACAAACACCTGAAAGAATGTTAGCCAAGTGAGCATTTCACACACAAAAACAGATCAGCAAGGTAGAACACTATTTGAAAGAGCTTCACTGTTTGTTTTTAGCATCTTTAGATATAGAATATAATATGATAAATTAGAAGATGCTATCTAAATTCACTCAAGCTTATTACAAATAGCATTTCAAACTCTTTACTTCCATTTGGTAGGCATATTGCCACAAGTAATTTATATCAAACATCTAATTTAAATGGACAGGAGTCCTGAGCTTTCCTTCTAAAAACATTTAAAAAAATATCAGAGGGGTAGCCGTGTTAGACGGGATCTGCAAAAGCAACAAGGAGTCCTGTAGTACCTTACAGACTAACAGACGTATTGGAGCATAAGCTTTCGTGGGAAAAGACCCACTTTGTCAGATACATGTCAATTTAAAACAATTTAAAAAATAGATTTATTTTTTCATATACTCCAGTCTTATCACTTCACAACTGAACACCAGCACAGTATATCAAGCTTCCAAAAAAGAGCCTCTTATGCCAGTTACACAAATGGGAACACATCAGTGTCCATCTGTCAGAGTGACTAAAAAAGCAGGAAAATATCTTTCCCAAATATGACAATATATTTGCTAGGCAGCGTTAGTGCATCAGTAAATCAGTACTGCCCAAAAACACAAGTCTGAGTGTTCCTAAGCAAAACAAACAGGAAATTAAACAAGAGAAAAAGTGTGGCTTGCAAAACTTTCCTATTCCAGTTTAGTTTATCACTTTTTGGAAGATGACATGAAATCCCTCCTGGACCCCAATTCCCCACACTGGGCTAAGCCTGGAGTCCCTCCCACACTCCAAACCCCCTAGCCTATCCTGGTGAAAGTGAGTGAGGATGGAGCAGGGGCAGTGCATTGAAGAAGGAGCAAGAAGGAAGTGGGGCAAAGATATTTGGGTTTGAGGTAGATCTTACTTTGCTCTTAAACTGAAAAAGTGATCTTGTGGTAAATCAGGATGGTCCCTTCTAATCCTAAGGTCTAAGTCTGACAAATATTTTCATATATCTTTAAAGCAGAGAAACAGATACTGTCCATCATTACATCCAAGTAACTCCAGTATTGCATGGCTCAGTGAACTGAGCTTCAGTGTTACTAAACGCTATCCTTCACAAAAGCATCCCACATGCTGTCATGTATAATCTTCATAATATTGACTTTATCATAGATTTAAAAATGTATTTTTCCTAGTAATGCTTTCTACAGCCACACCAAAAACCACAGAAGTTTTGCCATGAAAAATTATCTGCTTAAAACATTGAAGCAAACAGTGTACAACTCCAGAAGCTTCTTATCTAGTAGCCAGAACAACTATCACAGAATCCCAAAGCGCAAGCCATATGATTAAGTAGAATGTACTAAATTTAAGGAATGCAAACTACACTACAGGCAGTCCCCGGGTTACATGGATCCGACTTACATCGGATCCCTACTTACAAATGGGGTGAGGCAACCCCGCACTAGCTGCTTTCCCCCAGCAGACCAGGGAGACGCGAAGCTAGCGCCCCCCCCCCAGCAGACCAGGCAGACGCGGAGCGGCTTCTCAGCAGACACCTCAGCTTGAGAATAAAGGACTGAGGGAAGTGAGGTGTGGGAGAATAAAACTGAGCTCTGGAGAAATGTTTGGCTAGAGTTTCCCCTACAATATGTACCAGTTCCGACTTACATACAGATTCAACTTAAGAACAAACCTACAGTCCCTATCTTGTATGTAACCCGGGGACTGCCTGTAATGGAACCATACAATACCAACAGCTCAGAGAAAGGACCAAAATATCCCCATGCCAAGAAGTCAACAAGAGAATAAGGTAGTCTTTTCCAGGCACTGATATAGCTGCACTGGTGCAAGCCCAAGTGTAAATAGGCAAAGCCACTATTTATCCTATAGAAGGTTAATTTTTCTTGAAATCAGGTTACACTTCACTAACACAAAAGAAGTGCTTCCCTATCTACATCAGGATTTTCAGGTATCCCTGCCAGTGTTTGCTTTGGGAAAGTTCCTTGTTAACAGACAAAGTTCCAGCATCCCTGTTAAGTGGTATCTAGTGACTAAGCCTAAGCTTATCAGGTAGTAAAGTCACTACTCGACTAGTTGCTTCCCCCACCCCTTGCTGCCTCTATCAGGTGGTAGGGAGGAGCAGCACCATCTCTGCGGGGAGGGGAGAAGGCAGAGGTGCAGTAGGGGAAATGTTGCAAGTGCGGACCAGTCCCTGCTTGTGCTGGGACCCAAACCTGCTGCTCTTGCAACATTTCAAAGGCAGAGAGGCGCAGCAGTTGGGACCTGGCATGGAGCAGGGACTGCTTGAGTCCCCACTCGCTCTGGGTTCCCCACCTCACCTCTGCCTTTTAAATGTAGCAAAAGCCATGGGAAGCTCTTACTACATTTAAAAGGCAGAAGCACAGCAGGGATAATGCGCATCAATAGACTAATTGAGTAGTTGATGGAAATTCCATCGACGACTCAATTTAGCTGATTAATCAAAATTTAATATCCCTAGTGGTATCTAGGCAACATTTGTTCTCCCTTCTTAAAGCCAGAACAATGACTTTTTTTGAAAGTGCATGAGATAGTAAAATAATTTCCCATCTCATGCACTAGGAGGGTGGTTAAGCCCTGGAATGGCATTACTGAGAGAGGGAATGGAATCTCCATCCACAGAGGTTTTCAAGTCCCAGCTTGACAAACCCCTGGCTGGGCTGATTTAGTTGGGGTTTGTCCTGCTTTAGGCAGGGGGTTAGACTTGATGACCTCCTGAGGTCTCTTCCAACCCTATGATTCTATGAGGGGGTTTTTTCATACTAAATCAAGTTCTAGACAAATTTCTCCTAAATTGCTAAGCTACCACTTCTAAGTCAATTTTGAAACACTGTACTGTCTTTATTTGAAGTAATGTCCCTTTCTCTTACTCCCAAGAACTGGCATTTGCAGACTTTAAAGGTACTTAACAGGCTTAGTAACTTGCTTATAGCAAAGCTGGCAATCAGGAATTTTATAAGTCATAGTTATTTCCTTGCCTGTTATTCAGAAACATGGCGTTATTTTACAGTGAATTATTCCATTTAGTAATCATTGTTTAAAACATCTCCCTACTTTACTTCAGCTTTCACATTTAACTTTAAAGGCAATACAAGCTTTACAATTAAAAAGAGTTATCAATAAGAACGTTTCAACATGAGGATAGGATGCAAGGATTCTTGCCACTACATTTACATGTTAACTATTTTGTAAATTTTAAACTAAAAGGTACTGCATGTGCTGATCTCAGTCTGTTGCTTTTCCTCCTACTTAATAAAGCAGCATGTCAACACCTATAAGCCAGTTCATATTTTTCCAGTCTTACAGGTTAAATTATGGTTAGAACTGATGACTTTCAAATGACAACAGATGGGTATTTCCACATGCCAAAATGTAAAAAGGGGAAAAGAAAATGTAAGTGGAACAAAAGCATTGTCTGTGTAAACAAACATTACTGAAAACAGTTTTGTAGACACAGCTGATTTCATTTCCTTCTGTTTCCTCACTCAGAAGATGCGACATATACTAGATTAATATTAAATATTCATTAAAAAGGCTTTCCAAACCTATTGGCTACGTCTACACTGGCCCCAAATTCCGGAAAAGGCATGCAAAGCAGGTAAGTCAGAATAGGGAAATCCGCGGGGGATTTAAATATCCCCCGCGGATTTAAATAAACACGTCCGCCGCTTTTTTTCCGGCTTGGGGAAAAGCCGAAAAAAAGCATCTAGACTGGCGCGATCCTCCGGAATGAAGCCCTTTTCCGGAGGATGTCTTATAAGAGATCCTCCGGAAAAGGGCTTCATTCCGGAGGATCGCGCCAGTCTAGATGCTTTTTTCCGGCTTTCCCCCAAGCCGGAAAAAAAGCGGCGGACGTGTTTATTTAAATCCGCGGGGGATATTTAAATCCCCCGCGGATTTCCCTATTCTGACTTACCTGCTTTGCATGCCTTTTCCGGAATTTGGGGCCAGTGTAGACGTAGCCATTGTGTACATGTACCATGGTAATTCAGAGTCCACTACATGGATTACAAGGATTTTCCAAAAATGGTGTGGTGTGGCATCCTCGCTGTTTGGCAGACAAAATCTGCTCTACCCACATTTATCAGTAAAATTTCAGGGTGTTGGATGGTAACAGTTCAGATTAAATATGATTTTGGAGGGTGTATATAACACACACATACACACACACACAAATATATATATATTGAACTACCTTCCCATCCATAAGCTGGCCTGGCAAGATGACAGAGATGATAGACTTGCAGCAGTCCCTTCAGAGGCACTGCTCTGTGCAAGAACTCCTGCTGCTTGACTTGTGATGTCTTTATAAAGCTGCATAAACTGATATAAGTTCATAATTCTTGAAGCTTCTACAATGCCACTTGTTTTGTTTATCTAAAGATAAAAGTTTATAAATAGATTTGTATTATGTAACAAATATGTACTTTATCTGCCATAATTTCTGAACATAGGTAGGCAAATATGATGAAATGCACTGGAAAATACAAGATTAAGTGTGAAATTTACACCAGACTAGACTAAGATACCATTAAAAGGGTTTATATCTAAAAACTTGAAGCATAAAAAAAATCTTGGACAGAAATCAATTGTTTCATTTTTAGGGCTTAGTTTAGGCTAGCCAGTATCTACGTTATACAATATAACGTATCATAACTACAATGATGGTTCTCTTGATGAAAGTCATCATGAAAATCTTGTTCTTCCTCTCACCACTCTCTATATATAAGCTAAAATTTTTTAAAAATAGCTTTATTAAAATTGTTAGCTCCAGAGAATAGTCTTGTGAGCTAGGCTAAATTAAGGAATTCAAGAGCTTTATTAAGATTCTGGATAGTGTCACAAGCTAAAGTATAAAAGAATTAAAAAACCTTAAGAATTATAAAGCATTACAAAATACACACCATCAAGCGAGCTATATAAAAAAGCAGAACATGTAGTCTTTAAAGATACTTAAAATAATAGATTTTTATGGTCAACACAAGCTATAAGCTTTCAATCAGTGATTCCCATTTCAAAGCAAATAGCTTCTGGATGAACTAAGAACTGTTGCTCAGACTGAAGCCTGGGAACCTCAAGGGGCTCTTTATAATGTGTCCTGAAGCTCTTTGCAGCTCATGATATTAAAACACTGTGATTTAAATATTAAGCTATGTTATTATAACCAATGAGAGAGGGAGGGTCTCTCTCTCTCTCTCCAGATAATTAACACACACACACACACACACACACACACACACACACACACACACACACACACTGTTTTTTTTAGATATTTAGATTTAGCTAACTGTCTGTTCTCTGATACCGCATTTCTATATGATCGGTAAAAATTTGAGGGGGGAAAAAAAGTTCCAGGGAGAACCAGGGAGATCGGGACCAAAATGTGGTCGCGGCCCCTTTAATTGCCACGTGTCCCAAGCGGGCTTCCATCGGGTACAGCGCAAGTGCTCCCAGGGCTGGCTGGGGGCTGTGCCGGGGGATAGCGGCAAGTGCTCCCAAAAAAAGGTGACAGTACTCACAAAAAAAGCAGAGAGAGAGAGAGAGAGAGAGAGAGAGAAAGCGCTTGTGTAGAATGCAGAATGCAATTAAAAACTTCTGCCTTATTTTAATTTGCAGAAATTCAATTTCTAGTCATTTGAATGTGTTATGCTTTTGGTTGCTAGATTAAATAGCCTTCCAATACCAGAATCTCTTCCTCAAGTAGTTTTGTATAAGCCACAATAAAGTCATCTCTTAACTGTCTCTATGATCAGATACATGGATTAGGTTCTTAAAGATCTTACTGTAAACTGGATTTTTAATAACTCAAATTATTTTTGTAATGTTTTCCTAAATCCTGATCAATTCTTCCAATGTCTTTAAGCACCGACAGAAGAACTGGACACAATATACAAATAACAGTCCCGCTAATGCAATATACAATGGTAATTCCACTCCCTAATCCTACTTGATATTCCCCTGGAGTAGATTAGCCCTTTTAGACTCACACCAACAAGCTGATCATTCATCATTGCCTTTTAATTTTTTTCTGAGTCATCTCTACCCAGGATAAAAGAGAAGGAAGTGTGTTACCTACATTTTTTGTTCCTACATGTACAATCTTGCATTTGACTATATTAAGATTGCATTGTTTGTGCCCTGTTTATCAGAGGAGCAAAAAATCACTATGTGTAACTGACCTGTCATTTATTTACCACTCCTCCAATTTATCTGACATATGCAAACTTTAAGATTAATTATTTTATTTTTCTTGCCAAATCACTGATCAATATTACACCAAGAACAGATCACTGCAGGATCCTCACTACAAAACACCTTGCTTCAGTAATACCTCCAGCAGCAAGAACAGTTACATTCATTTAACAGTTGCTATACTGATTTAGTATATTATTACCTTTTGAATTTCAATGTCAACTTCCAGTTTTGTGGGATGAATATCAACTGCAAAACTAACAAGTCAATATTCCAAAATAGCCCTATTTGCTTTCTTAGGACAAAGCATCGAACAAGTGAGTTCACTGAGTTTCAGTATGGCACAGAGCAGTCTCACAAGAAAAAAAATTAAATTGAAGTCATACACATTTATTGCTGCACATGTGACTGTAGCTGTAAATTATATATTTTTAACAGTGTCAAGGAAACCCCTATGTTGTTCCTAAAATTAACTGCTAGCTTAACTGTCACAATGAAGTTTGATCCTGTAAGATGTAGTCATAGTTGAACTGCTACAGTCATGTGACTGTCTAATAAAAGTGATTTACCTGAATGGTTCAGCTTGCAGAATCAGGCCTAAGGTAATACCATTAAAGGTCAATTTTTTTTAAATCACTTTAAGAGTGTAGGAATTAAATTACTCAGTGGGTTGACAATGAGTGTCCTTTACTAAAATGCAACTTCTGTCAAGCTTGGGACTATAAAACTAAACTAATTTATTTTTCAGTTTGTTTCATTTTCTGTTTCTTATACATTAGAAAGATGTTCCAATGACAGGATTGCAGATACTTTAAAATCAGTCATGGAAAGATCACTGTTGATACTGACATTTTAGGCCTAACTGTTAGGTATTCCTAACATCATAGGAATACCTCAAAATATTTTTCAAATATATAGTACTGAACAATGAGATTTTTACTGAAAACCTAATTGTTCTCAGTTACCAAAAGATTAAAAAATCCTGAGTTAAAGATTCTGATAATTTTACCTTAGTACAGAGAATCCGAACCACCATCTTCCAAAGAGCAGTGGAATCAGAACCTGGCTGCACTTCAAACAGCAGATGTTTGTCCTGGCCAGAAGCCAACTTTGTGGTGCTGAAATAGAGTCACATTAATGCGACATTATGTATTAGGCAGTGCTTGGTGAATCATTTTTAAAAGGAAATTTGGAGACTGGCATCATTTACCCACCTGCTTTTAAACCTGAACAGCAATTATATCAATGCCCCAGAAATCAACAGGGCTTCCTATCTGCTTAAAATTACTCTTGGGGCATATTTACAGACTAAGGATGCTAAAATGGGTTTATTTTTGTAAACATGTAACTGCTGAAATGTTCAGCAGTTGCAAGTTTACATGGGGGGGAGGGGATGAGTGAGGAAGATGGCTCCCCATGAGCACTGGCTCCCAATCCCTCCACCCTGTACTTATCAGAGGCAACATTATGGAGGCAGGTGGCTCCCTGCATGTGCCAGCTACCGCAGAGCTGCTTACTTTCTCTTCCAACCCATGCTGCTGCCTGACACTTGAAGGGAGTGAGCTTGAAAGCTGACTCCCCATGTGTACTAGCTCCTACCTGCCTCCACTCCTCCGCGCTGCCGCTGCTGTATCAAAAGCAGCAGCATGGGGGATGTAGGTGGCTCTGTGGGAGCAGATGCTTGTGCCTGTTGCCAGCCCCCACCCTTGCACTGCAGCACTGGGGGAAGGAGAGCTACATTGATACCCCACAAGCACCAGTTCCGGCCTCCCCCTGCTGCTGTCTCTGATATAGGCAGGGGGGCTGCGTATAACCATGCACGTGTTCACAATCCTACTAAGGACCATAATGAGTTATGTAATTGCTAAGGATTATATACACACACTTAAATATAAATAAATGAAACATCAATAGATAATCCTCCAATTTGAGACTAATAGTAAAAAACTTGAATCTTTAAATATTTAAAGACTTGCTTTAAAGCACACTTTTAAATTGTCTATGTTTAAGAAAATTATTTAAAAGACAAATGAGGACTAATGTGATATTAATAGATTTGGCTGATTCAATAAAAATAATTTAAATCTTTGTGTGGGCTTGGAGAATTTAAGGATATATATTTGAAAGTTTAATAGGCTTATTCATAATCTAAGATATTATTCTGTACATAGTTTCTGTCCAACATGATAATGGGAAAGAATAAAGGACATGCAGCCTTACACATCATTAAGTTCAGCTACTCTCCCCAGAAACTCTTCATAAGTCAGAAAGCCACTTTCTCGAACCAAAGATGCATGTTTTACTAATTTTTCTGGCAACTTGCTAATAACAGTGTGTGTGTGGTTTGAAATCTGTTGACCCATGATGAAGTTCTTCGGCTCAATGTTCAAGCAGAAAGGAGGCTTCAGTCATTTGTGGTGTTTCTGCTAAATACATTTTTAAAAGTTATATTAAAGGCAATAGTCACAGCTCCCTTTTGTCCCTTTCCTTTTAAGCACAGCAACCTACATACTAAGGAGTTTAGAAAAGTCACCCATTGATTACTATAGACACAGCCTTATACATTCATAATGTAACACAGGAACAAAACATAACACTTCTGTGGGTGTTAAGTTTTAAACTAGCAACTTATGAAAAGGCTTCTTGTGTTCATAAATTTTAAGAAATTGTTCCCGTTATATACAGAATTAGCACATTTACCAGGTCCTTAAGCGAGGCTCAGGGCAGAAAGATGTAGGAGGTGCAGGAGTCAGGGTTATAGAATCAGAGTGCTGGAAGAGACCTTAGGAAGTCATCAAGTCCAGCCCCCTGCCCAAGGCAGGACCAATCCCAACTAAATCAACCCTGCCAGGGCTTTGTCAAGCGGAGACTTAAAAATCTCTAGGGATGGAGATTACACCACCTCCCTAGGCAACCCATTCCAGTACTTCACCACCCTTCTAGTGAAATAGTTTTTCCTAATGTCCAACCTAGACCTCTCCCACTGTAACTTGAGACCACTGCTCCTTGTTCTGCCATCTGTCACTACTGTGAACAGCCTCTCTCCATCTTCTTTGGAACCTCCCTTCAGGAAATTGAACGCTGCTATCAAATCCCCCCTCACTCTTCTCTTCTGCAGACTAAACAAACCCAAATCCCTCAGTCTCTCCTCATAGGTCATGCACTCCGGCCCCCTAATAATTTTGGTTGCCCTCTGCTGGGCCCTCTCCAATGCATCCACATCCTTTCTGTACTGGGGGGGGGGGTCAGAACCGGACACAGTACTCCAGGTGTGGCCTCACCAGCGCTGAATAAAGGGGAATAATCACTTCTCTAGATCTGCTGGCAATGCTCCTCCTAATGTACCCTAAGATGCCATTAGCCTTCTTGGCTACAAGGGCACACTGTAGACTCATATCCAGCTTCTCATCCACTGTAATCCCCAGGTTCTTTTCTGCCAAACTACTACCTAGCCATTCAGTCCCCAGCCTGTAACAATGCTTGGGATTCTTCCATCCCAAGTGCAGGACTCTACACTTGTCCTTGTTGAAACTCATCAGATTTCTTGTGGCCCAATCCTCTAATCTGTCTAGGTCACTCTGGACCCTATCCGTGCCCTCCAGCATATCTACCTCTCCCCCTAGCTTAGTGTCATCTGTATACTTGCTGATGGTGCAATCCTCCCTTCATCTGGGTCATTAATAAAAATGTTGAACAAAACCGGTTCTAGAACAGATCCTTGGGGTACTCCGCTAGAAACCGTCTGCCAACCTGACATCGAGCCATTGACCACTGACCCTTGGGTTGAGGGGATAAAGGGATTCTGGGTGGGGAACTTTGTATGTTTGTGTGTGGTATGGGGGGGGAGGGGGAGGGACCCAAGAAGACCTAAGCTGCCTCCTACCGCCTTTTAAATTGCAGAGCTAGGTTTTGGTCCCAGCACAAGCCAGGACTGAGCTGGCTGTCTTCCCCTATAGACTAACAGATTAAAATTCTGTCAACTACCTGATTAGTAAAATAACCTAATTTAAATCCCTAATTCCAACTACATACAATTTTGAAGATAGTTGAAATGTGTTAGTTGAGAAAAGTACATTTTCTTTTCAGAGGTCTACTATGAGATATGCAGGTATATTATGCATTAAGGTAACAAAAATTTTAAATTAATTGTAAAATTCAGGCCAAGTTCTATTCTCAGGTTCTGTGAATTCTCCCCAAGAATTTTCACTAATATAACCTCCATTTCTCACATATAAATCTTTCCCTGCCTCCTCTATTCATTGTGTTTCCTTGTAAACCTGTTTAAATTATGAATCCTTGGGGCTGCTGCATCTCAATAGGGCTGCACAAATGGCAAAGATATGCCAATCTATTAGCATCTAATATCACAACAAAACAGTTTGGAAATTAAAGAGCTGGCATATGTGCAAAAAGTTGCCTTTTGAAACTGATTGCTTTTATATTTTCTGCATAAAGACAAAAGAACATAATCCACATTTGGTTAGAAAAATTTCAGCTGAAGAAGTTAACATATTGACTTAACAATGGTAAATTGCTTTTGAAACTACAGAACTTGGAGTGTTTCATAAGATAATTTAAAGGCCACGCTAAGACCACAAGTAATTTTCAAACTAGTCAATTTTACAACCAAGTTAAGCCATCCAGAAAATAAGGGTTTATAATGTAATTGCTGAAAGACCAAAATTATGGAGAATAGATTACTTAATAGGTATTTTCCCTCTTCAGTTACTCTGAAATTATATAGCTATGACAAGTAACAGCGTAATCAAGTCTAAGGCTTTGTCTATCAGCAGCACTTGAAAGCAGCAGTCTGGTCAAGGCGAGAGCACCGAAACAGAGCTCTCACAACACTCTAGGGCTTTGTCGACACTGCAGACAAAGTGGAAGAAATCTTTCCGTGGAAGAAATCTTGAGCAAAAGTGCATCCATACCTCAAAAGCACATCGCAAAAGCAATGTGCTTTTACTCAAGAAAGCGTCCACGCTGCATGGACACCCTTCCGCAAGAAAGTTCTGATGGCTTTTTGTGATAGGCTCTTTTTGCACAAGAAACCACTCTTGCGCAAAAAGGAGTTATGCTTTGTAGAAGGAGGTATACCTACACCGCAAAAAGCCGTCTGTTCTGTTGACTGACTGGAGACTTTCTTGTGCAAAAATGCGCTTGAGATGTGGCTGCTCCACTGGTTTTTGTGCAAAAATGTCTGTTTTTGCACAAAAACCCTGTAGTGTAGACATAGCCTAGGTCAGGGCCACTCAACTTTAGAAGCTCTGGGGGCCACAATGATACTCACAGCACATGCTGAGGGCCGCAACTTAAGCGTGGTTGCGTATATGCAAATAGCTTCTTTCACAGTGATGGGCATAAATACAAAAATTAAGGCAAGACTACACAACATACAGGCCCCATTTAAGTCAGTTCTGCTGATATTAATAAAATGCAATAATTACCCAATTTCCACCCATATGACAGCACTTTTCATGAACAATGACAGTCCAGGAATTTAATTACTAAATCACATATCAACAGAGGTCCATTATATTGCCTTTTTTGTTTTGGCTGTTGAGCCCCACATAAACCTAAACTATGTAGCCCATGGGCCATGTGTTGAGTAGCCCTGCTCTAGGTATAAGCCACCACCACAAGGGGAGTAGCTAACAGTGCCAAGAGCATGGCTCCCTGCATTGTAACTGTCCACACTGGTGCTTTACAGGGCTGTGACTTGTTGCACTTGGGTGAAGAGGGTTCTGAGCAAGAAAGTTACAGCACAGTAACTTGCCAGTATAGACAAGCCCTAAACCTATATCCTTGACTTTGCATTCCTGTTTTAAACACCCGTATTTTCTATTTGAACGGTCTGCATCAGTCACTATACAATTTAGCCCTAACACGACATTATTCAGCACTCAAGTCACGCAGGCACATCTATTCCGCTCTCCGGTTACTGACTGGAGAGTGCAAGACGAACGACCGCCGCACTTTCCGCTCTGGCACACCCAGACCTGCCCGGCCATGTTTACTGTGAGTTTGCGGTGCAAACCACGGACTGTCACGCACAAGCACCATCACGTCGCTGTGCTGCTACTGCGGCTCTGCACGCTTGTCAGAGCGCTGCCCTGCCGCGCGCGGGCGCTGCCCAGGCCTAGCCGGTACGCCTCGAAGGCACGTCTGCAGCTCGTGCCACCACGCGGCCTGCGCCCCAGTGACGTCCGACCGCGGGACCAGAGCGGCTCTCCTGGCAGCCCAAGCGGCGGGTGAGCGCCCCAGGCCGTGGGGAGCACCCTCGGGGCTGACATTTCGA